TATATATTGCACATACACGAAATAGAGGAAATTGGAAATTGAATTAATGACTTTATGCACTCTATTGGCATTTCTCTTTTCCCTTTCTTTCCCTTCCCCCTTTTTTGTTCTTTCTCTCCCTACTCTTCATGGAAAATAACTTTTATGCACATTATTGTATATTGAATACACATAAAGAGATGTAATAAAAATGTTGTTCTCTATACCTTTACTTGCACTTATAGGGTCCCTTTACATATATTATCTTATACATTCACTCACTAATTCTACACACATCAAAAAATTACAATATAGTGAAGAGCGCACAATGAACTGAAATAAATAATATATACTATGTGACTTACAGTTGGGAAGTCATCAGGTGTGTCTTGAAATCCCCAGTGGTATGGCCTCGGAAGTCTTGTAAACTTGTCGGGTCCGCAGCAGGTGATTGATGGATGCCGGACCGAATCTGGGATACCGAATCCGTCGCTAACCCACGTACTCGGCTGGCCAGGCCGAGCCGCGGCTGGCAGGCTAGGCGTTTCGAGGGTTGCCCTCTTTGTAAAGCGTTTCGAGGGTAACCCTCAAAACGTGTAGCCTGCCGCCAATCCTGCCGTATGGTCTTTCTCACATCAGAGCATATCTCCCTCTGACATCGAGCACTTACCCGTATCATTCAGCGCACCTGACAGTTCTCACGAACACGGTGCTGAGACACACGGCGAGGTGTGTCATTCAGCTGACTGACATCTATGTAAGTCACATACTATATATTATTTATTTCAGTTCATTGTGCCAGCCACACCAGGTAGACGCGCTCTTCTGTATAGTATAATTTTTTTATGTGTGATTCACAGGGTTCCTCTCCCTGTTTTGAAGAGCTCTGCACACCATCCCCTAGAATATAACACTCAGCAGTGTGTTCATATACCAGGAGTGTGCTTTCATATTTTGTTCTTGCTATTGCTAATTCTACACACACATGGATAGATTTTCTTTTTTTTAGTCTTTCTTGTTATTCTTTTCTTCCCTTCTTTCTATATTTTTTTTCTTCTTTTTTCCTTCTCTTCTTTATATATACAAAGGGTTTACTTGCTAAAAGAGCGCTATTATCATAAAGCAGATGCTTGGAGAAATAGAAGCATTGTATTGTACAGTATATACATGTACAATATGACATTACAGAAGTTTGCGGGACTTATGTTTTATTGATGGTATTATTTGGAAGCCGATGGCATTAGATTTTGTTCCATAGGTGGCCATTTATATGTTTTGCATACTTTTTTCTTAAAAACTAATAAATATTTATTGAATCAAAACATTGCAGGGAAATCACAGAAAAAAGTATTTCAAATTCTTACTTTTTGCTTTCTTTACATGTGTTTCCAAACTTGCTAGCAAATTTGCACACTTCATAGTAATTTCTCTAATACAGTCCCCTCCTTGCACGCCATTGCCATCTCCCCTTCAGGGAGAGTGTAATTACGGTCTATGCCAGCCAAGGTCTTTCCCTGTCACCTCCCTACATAACCTTTTATGAAGCAGCCGGTGGATCAGCAAAAGGGATCGTCACTGTTCAGTGACAGCTCTAAGTTTGCTGGTGCAGGCATTGATCACCTATGTAAAAGGACCTCCAATGTAAGGAGGACATTTTTCTTTGATCACCCATGTAAGGGAACACTATTCCACTAACAGTTAGTGTAAGGGAATACTACAATTTTCACAGTTTGTGTTTCTTTTCGGGTCATTATTACTTGTTTCATTTAATTCATTTTGCCATATAGAGCAGGTGGTGTCGTATATACAGTTGTGCTCATAAGTTTACATACCCTGGCAGAATTTATGATTTCCTGGCCATTTTTCAGAGAATATGAATGATAACACGAAAACCTGTCACTTATGGGTAGTGTTTGGCTGAAGCCATTTATTATCAATCAACTGTGTTTACTCTTTTCCAAACATAATGACAACAGAAACTACCCAAATGACCCTGATCAAAAGTTTACATACCCTGGTGATTTTGGCCTGATAACATGCACACAGGTTGACACAAAGGGGTGTGAATGGCTATTAAAGGGAACCATCCTCACCTGTGATCTGTTTGCATGTAATCAGTGTGTGTGTATAAAAGGCCAATGAGTTTCCGGCCTCCTGACAGACCCTTGCATCCTTCATCCAGTGTTGCACTGACGTGTCTGGATTCTGAGTCATGGGGAAAGCAAAAGAATTGTCAAAGAACCTGCGGGAAAAGGTAGTTGAACGGTATAGAACAGGAAAGGGATATAAAAAGATATCCAAGGAATTGAGCATGCCAATCAGCAGTGTTCAAACTCTAATCAAGAAGTGGAACATAAGGGGTTCTGTTGAAACCAAACCACGGTCAGGTAGACCAACTAAACTGTCAGCCACAACTGCCAGGAAAATTGTTTGGGATGCAAAGAAAAACCCACAAATAACCTCAGGTGAAATAAAGGACACTCTGAAAACATGTGGTGTGGCTGTTGCAAGATGGACAATAAGGAGGCACTTGAAGAAAGATGGGCTGCATGGTCGAGCCGCCAGAAGAAAGCCATTACTACGCAAATGCTTACAATATGCCAAACATCACAGAGACAAGCCTCAAACCTTCTGGCACAAAGTCATTTTCTACCCATATATATATATAGATATATCTATAGGTATATCTATAGATATATATCTATATAATATATATGTATTTAATCTGTTCTGGGTGTCAGATAGTCTAGTTATGCAATTTTCTTTATTATTAATGCTAATGTACTGTGAGCTGTAATATATTTGTTTAGTGGGTAAAGGTTGATAAAGGTTGTTCTAGATTGCATAACTATTAACTAGTATTAACTAGATTAACTCTAGAGGACTCTACTTATAAACTTCTTTTTTCTTTTTTTTTGATTAGGGATCATGTTTATACAGTATAGTTGTGTTTTTAAATATGTACATATAAGTGCAGGTACAAAACAGTTTATGTATTATATTTGAATGACAGCCAGCAATTCCGGTACCAGGTCTTTAAATGGTTGCAACCTCTCCTTGCAAAATTAGTTCTAAAGAAGAGACATAAAACTGCCTTGAAACATGTTGCATTATCTTTAAGTGTACCTTCAATAAAATAATCTTCTTAATGGCATATTCTGGTGCATAATACTCAGAGGATAACTCTAACATAGATCTATATCTACTTTCAAGTTGGCATCAGTGCCTACTATATCATTCTGCAGCCTCAATACTCACAACTGATGAGACCAAGTGTTTTTTTCAGGATATGCATTATATGGTGTCATACAGCTAAACTAAAAGGTGAGCACATTTTGATTCATATCTTCTAAGCAATTTGCAAATAGGATGCAATACACGCTTTTTACAGAACTGTCAGAAGCACATGACAATGTCCTTAAAGAGCTGCTTCCCTATACGCCCAACAAACATTATATTATTTTTTTCTTTTCTCCCAACTACAGAGTGGATTTCTCCTTCTTGTGGAGTTATTTCTTCTCCTTTTTCTGCTTAAATCCCTAAAGGCAAAGCAATCATATGAGAACTTTCTTCATATCTTAGCTCAGATGAGGCCATCCTCTAATCCTTACTGAGAAGGCTGGTAAAATGTATGTGCATGGAAAAATGTTCTCCTGTTTGACAGACCCTCAAAAATAGGAGTGTGGGAAAAGCATAAACACACTCAAGGAGGCCCAACAATTATTGAAAAGTCCTTGCATATTTAACAATCTCCTCCCCCACCCACCCACTAATTTATTTTTGTGAGGGAGTCAGTTATTCAGCTGCACATTCACCATTTCAAATTACATTGGAATCTTGGAAATGTGTTATGAATTTAATGTGACCCCAATCTGAATCTTATCCACTGTAAATGTTAAAAACAGAAGGCAAGCATTCTCCTATAATCCTTACATCCTTAACTTCTATGCCAGGCAGTTAAGGGGAACATTATTCAATGCTTTAGCTAAATCTAAATTTATAACATCGATAGCATACCCAATATCATGATTTACAAAAATATTTCTAAATCATAATGGTAACTAGATAATCTTTTGATTTGATTTTGTTTCTAGATTATGTTCCACTATATCTATTTTCATCCTTCTTCATAATTCTTTCCAATAGTGTATGCACGACAGGGGCCAGGCTTACTACAGACTGTTTACACTTATTAAACACTTGCACACCATCTTTTGTCCACCATTCTTGTGGTACTAACCCAGTATAAAGATTAAATACTTAGATATACTGTAGTGGTTTTTCGGTTATTGACCTTAAATTGTTTTAGCACACAGGGATGCCATCTGAGCTATGTTTTATATGTATCTTAATTGTTTTAATGTATACCTTTTGTTATTATGCTTGGCAAATGTGATTGAGGAGGGTCAGATATCTCTTCCCACCATATAAGCTTAGGCACCAGCCACTTTTTTCCGATTTGTGTCCCTCGATAGAAACACACCATATCCAAGACTTCTCCAAACTATCATAGCAATACTGTTTTTGGTCATAGGCCCAAAACCAACCCTCATTTTTTTCAATGACCTGTAAGAAATTATCACCTTAGGGGGTTTACTGCAATACTCCAAAAACAGCTTCCCTCAGGTTGTTGTATATGAAGTTGTCTTACATTTGGCTTGTATAGATAGCCCTACCAGGCCAGTTTCTAAGCTCCTGGGTGGCCCTACCAAGAGCTTACATTACCACCTGCATAGCTGTCAGGGTCATAGAAGTAACAAAACAGGAAATAAAAGCATTATCTGAACATCTCATACCAAAAAACGTCTTACCGTAACTTTTTGCTGATTTTTGTGAACTCAACAAGGCCAGTCTCCATGGGAAGTGTTAGCTCTCTGGCAGTGAGCATTAGCCTGCAGTCTTCATAGGTATGATCAGTTGTTGGCAGTCCCAAAGCCCTGAATAAAAAATAAAATCCTGATAAAGTCACTGACAGTAAAACAGGTAATGCGGAGTCTAGTTTATCACACTGGTGCAGGCACTGACCCATAAGGATAATGGTGCTAGTAGGATATCCTGTGCAGCCCTTTCTATATAATTTAAAAGCAGAGTAATATATATTTATTTTGTTACCTTGAGGAGTCAATAAAAGGATCTAGAGTAAAGCTGGCCATTCACTTTTTTTTTCTTTTCTCATTCAGCCCACAAGCTGGGTTTATCCATGCATGGTTTATGTATTCTGACAGTGGGTGTGCTGCTGTCAGAATACCTGAACAGTGACTGCAGCTGACTGGCTTCAGTCACTGGTTGTTCATGAGTTTTCAGACCGACTCATTCAACAAAATAAATATAAAAATGTACTTTTGTCAAACAGAGGGGTGCCAATGTGGCAACACGCTGCTTAAACTTTAGCCAAGTCAGTAAGGCCCCATTCACACTGCGCGATTTGCAAATCGCGCATTTGTTGCGCGATTTGCATTTCGCGCAATATCGCGCAAATGCTTGCATTGAGCAAGCTTGAATCGCGGCTAAATCCGCTCCAAATAGGGTCCTGCTGTAGCGACACACGACCCACGACAGCAGGACCCTTTGCCCCATTGAGAAGCATTGGAGAGCGATATCGCACGGTAAATTGCCGCGATATCGCGGGAATTACCGCGCGATAAATCGCTCAATGTGAACGGGGCCTAATTCATAAAAAGACATAGTCGCGCTCTTGAACGACTGTGGCGAAAAACTAGAACTCTGCCAGATTTCACCGTGTATAAAGCTGCCCTCCTAAAATATAATTCCTTCCTGCGTGCTGCCAAACAGACTTATTTTGTTACTCTCATTAACACACTCTCATCCAAACCTCGTCAACTCTTTTCCACTTTTAACTCTCTACTATGTCCCCCACCGCCACCACCTACTAACTCGCTGACTGCCCAGGACATTGCCACTCATTTCAAAAACAAAATAGATACAATTTCGGTTTACCATCTTGTCTTGAATTGTATTGTGACTGTAATGTCTTCCTTATATTGTAAAGTGCTGTGAAAACTATTGGCGCTATATAAATCCTGTATAATTATAATAATTCTTGGCCAAAAGTTGAGCAGTGTATTGCCAGCTTAAGATATTCCTACAGTATATTGGTTTATATTTGTTGCATAACCCACTGCAATAACAAATGTTTTTGCTTATATTGTGCCCTACATACTGCACTGTGTATCCTCCAATAAATACTTTAGATAACTGGAGACCTCTGTTAATAACACTTAACACAATAAAAACTCCAGGGCCCCTATTTTATATCACCACTTTAATGAGAAAATGTGGTTGCTCCTTTAACATGTAATTTATACAATTTACTACAGCTGACAGGTAAAGTACTTCAATAACTAAAGTTAGAAATATATAGACACACTATTTTCAGAAATATAGCAGAAAGCACTACAAATAAATGAGAACCATATTTTGCCATCTCTAAATTATAGTCAAACATCATTAGATTAGAAGGCAATGACAATGAGATACATACTTAGCCATGACATTGCGAACATTGTTTGCATAGAGAAAAATATCTTTTTTCTCTTCTTCTGAAGGGACATAAACAGGAAGAAACTTGAAAGAAAGAAGCAAATTTAAATTACAAATAATTATGTCCCAAAAGTGTGTAAGCACCAATAAAGTACACTTTTACATTAAAACAAAGCCTTATAGTTTCAGTTCCCTGATTGTTATACCCATGATTATTTGGTAATGGCTTGTTTTTTATCATAGTTTGTATGGAATGGAAACTTATTAATAAAAACTGTTTAACTCAAAAAGAACTTAACACAAAGAAAAATCTAACAGTCAAAAGAATCACTACCTACCTACTTTACAAAATAGCCATAAAATTTATAATGATGTAGGTTGCCAGGTCTTTCCTCAACTTCCCCTATTTACACAGACTTGAGTGTGGTGAATTCAAATCTAAAGTTAGTTTTTCTCTGTAAGGTCTAGATTTTTTGCAATTGAACATTTTAATTTTTCGTGAAATTTTGACACCTCACTGAAACATTTACCCTTTTTAGTCAAATATGAGTGTGTACTAATGCTTTATACTTTAAATTAATACATTTGTTGACATAAAGATTATAGGTGATTCAGAACAACTGATAAGGATGGAATTCAAAGTTCAAATATGTCCTATTCAGGCAAGAATTTGCTCTTGTAGCTGTAACATTTGTGGACTTTCTCAGGGCAATCTTGTCCTGCAGTAGTGTGCCATCATATTATTGTCCCATCGCCCTTGATAGCGATGTTCCATCATTATGAGGTCTTAATGGAAGCGCTCTCCATGTTCATAACTAACAGCCCCAAGGTTCTCGGGGAATTGATCAAGGTGATTATTCAGGAAATGGAGCTTGACACTCATTTTGCCCCAAGATCGCAAAAAACAAAAGCATTCTAATAACGAGAACCTCATAATTATCTGCTTATTTGTTATCAAGAAAGTTTTGTATAACTGCCACAAAAGACAGCCATGCTGCCTTCTCCTTGTCATTCATCTTCCTGACAAATTCCTCTTCACGTGCAAAGGCACGAATTTGAGGTCCATCGAACACACATGCTTTGATTTTCTCAAAAGACAAAGCAGGAAAAGCAGAAACTTTGTCGAAAATATTCGCCATCAGTACTTAATGCCTTCACAAACTGTTTCATCAAAAAAATCAAGTAAATCAGATAAATCTCTATAATCCAAATTTAACAAAAAAAAGATAAAGAATATTGATGTTTGTAAAAAAAAATTAGCCTAATTAGTCTAAGGTTAGGGTAGATATAAGCCTATTTCTCAAGCTATACCTAGAGTAAATAACAATAGGTGTCCTTTTTTGTGAAAATCACAAGTTTCAAATTGCATGAAAACTAGAGCATGTAGAGGAAAACCAATTTAATTAATTCATTTGAAGTCAGCTTTGAAAAAATACTTAGAATCAGTTGAAAAGTCTCATGCAACAGAAAATAAGAAAATATCTATTCCCCAGTGAAATTCATATGCTCCTCAGATCTATCTAGTGGTCATTACATTCGACCTGAAAAGAAAATTTACTGAGAACATTCTTCTATTCTTGCACAGCAAACATTCACAGACATTTGCGGGGTGAATGGCTCTGTGAATTGTTTTAAAATACTGTGCTGTGAATAAGGACAAACTGGATGCAGAGATGCATAAAGATACCCGTTCTACGTCTTTCCTATCGCGCTGGAGGTATTTTCTTAGTAGCTCTTATTCTGTAGAGGACATCCACCAAATCATTAAGCCCTTCCGCTACACTAAATGGTTCTTGACTAATGAATTGTCGAATGCCTTAGGGGTCCTGCAACTAGGCCAAGACTGACGGCCTCTCTGGAAGGCAGGTCTTGGAGTAATATGAGTACTGCTTGATTACACTCTCTGAATACTTGTTTATAGTGGGAGTACTATTAGTATTGTTCAGAATGCTCCATCTACTATGCATATGTTCCTTGATGGATTGTTATGGATGAAATTAACCACTGCGTGGTATAATTATTATTGTGAAGTGATGACGTTTTTTTTTTAAATGTAAAGATTGCTAAAAATTAATAAAACATTTTTGAAAAAAAAATTAAAAAAAATACTGTGCTGTTTTTGAAACTCCTGGGATATTAAAGTGTATGTGAATGCACCACCAACAATCAACACTTTAATAAAACTTTTAATTTGTAGGCACCATATTATAAATTAATTTGTTAAAATAATTTAGTTTTCACCTTTTTTTATGATAATATGGCACTTTTAACTTCTCTTCCTGGCAAGGGCAGCTAATTTTTAGAAGCAAGAAGTGGGCAGGCAGTCAAATGTCAAACACAGATGGGGAAGCACATTTGCCATCTGTCCACACTGCACTCCAGAAGGCTGTGCCCTCTGCACTCCACACTGCTAAAAGCTGAAGTACAGTATCTGCAGGCTAATGATGAGCGGGGGCTAAACAGACCTCCCCTCAGAACGGTAAGCCCTCGCAAGCAAACTGGCCATGCAAGCATGCATGCTTTGCATGGTCTGTTTAGAACAAGGAAGAAGGGGGACTGGCAGGATCAACCAGATAATTAAACAGGATGCAGTATGTCAAAGAATAACAAATTATATTCACAAATATCTAACGAAAGAGTAGCGGAGTACCAACAGGAATTTGTACAAATTAAACATAAAAAAAACATTAGGACCATCATTAATAAATAACCGTTTGAGTGCCATAATGTACAGCAACCACAGGTACCAATGTTTTATGCTGTACCAAAAACTCCTGGGAGACCCATTTTTTTCAGGTGCTGGTTGCCAGAGAGAAAATGCTAGTCACTTAGATCAACTAAGTGAATAGCAGGACTAATTGGACTACCTTAGGCCCCCTAGTTATTGGTCTTCCTTCATATTTGAAGGAAACTATAACTCTATTCCAGATACCCATGAATTCCTGGCTTATAGCTATAGATATTGAAGCTTTATTCCATATCACAAACGACTAGCTTTTTCTGTGAGTGTGAACAATCATTAACATAAAACTAATTTGTTCTAGGCCTATTGAGACATACGTTTCCTTAATAACTCCCACTACCTCCAGGAGTAGGGAGGGGCAATGGGCATACACACCATCCTTTTCAAACCTGTACCGGGGGGAATGGGGGGCTGTGGTATGAGTTGTTATGTCCTGTGCCAGCATAAAGTATTAGATTTTTGGATATTGAAATTGATGCCCTGGGGGATGGTTCCCTAGTAACTACTCTTATAGGAAGCCGACTATGGGGAATACAATTTTGTATATCTCTAACAAAGAGCATACCTTATCCCCAATATTTAAGCATCAGACAAAACTGTACTGATCATAGGGAATTTTACCAAAAAGCCAAGCAACTGAAAGAGAGATTATGTGACAGGGTGAATAGGAAGAAGACTTTTAAGAAAGCATGCCAAAAAGGAAAGGGCTATACTAGGGAATCCCTAATACATACATAATGTATGTATGTATGCATGTACTGTATGTATGTATATAATACACACTTTAAAAACGATGTTGGAATAGTCAAAGTTCTGACAAGGTTTTCACGTCAACATCCTGAGATCCGGGATGTTCTAAAAGAAATATTGCTATCTACTAACCAGCAATATCATCATAAAAAAAATGTGTATTGTAAAATTAGAAATAGACTTATGGCAATATTAAAAGGGCAGATTATTCCATTTTGTAACAGTGGGTTTTAGATTGTTTTAAACTATGTTTTAATAAGTGTGTTTTTTCTGCATTCAATACCAACATGTCTTAACTGGAGTATGTCAATTAAAATTAAACATAAATATTATAGTTACCCTGTAACAAAGTGGGTGGTTTGAAAGATGTAGTGACTGAGAACGGTCATCTTGGTAGGTTAGTTTCTTTTGTTTTAATATTATTAAAAAGAAATACAGTATGCACTCTGAAACTCCCCCTTAAACAAATATACTGACTATGCTGATGAAGAGAAATTGTAACACTTTTAAGTAATAATAGTTATAATAGTAATAATAATAATAGTAATAATCTTTACTCTGTAAAGATTCAGTGTCTTACCTCCACTTCAACGTTGGTGCAGAACTGACATACAGTCATAGATAAAAGTTTTGTGCTGAGATTGTAAAATAAATGGAAATGTGTTATACTACCAAAATGTTTATGTACTATATTTGCAAATAATTTAAATACTTGGTGTTGTCAAAAGCAGTTTTTATTTGGCAGAGACAGCATTCACATTTTTTACAGCTCTATGTAAATCCAGCACCAGATTTTCACAAATCCGGTCTAAGCCCTTTCCTTAGTTTGCAGCTAAGCTTTTTGGGTAATATAGAGAAATGGGTTATCTTCTCTTTTTATATTTATAAAGAATCCCCTAAAGGGTAGGTGAACTAGAAATACCATGGTAGGTGACATAGAAATAAAATGTAAGGGCAGCTGAACAATCGGTCCTCACCATTTTAAAGCTGAACTTCAGACTTACCTTCAGTCTTGCACCACTGCACATGCTCCTCTCATATACTGAAATTGCACACAGTGTGCATTAGAAGCTGCAGCAAGTCAGAGAGAGCTCAGCTGAATTGCTGGCTGGAGTGCGTCTAGCATCATTAGTCCTTTCTTATATGAGGACCCAATTTTTGTAAAGGGGACTTTTAGATCCTGATGAATCACACCCTCCACAGACCCAACATTCACTGTAAGGGATGTGGTGATGAGACCCTAGTCCCCATTAACAAAGTGCCTTCCCAGTGTAGCCCCCATGTTAAGGACATATGGCCTGGTATGATTCGGAGAGAGGGTGCACACTTGCTGCCCATTCCTATTCTGTCCAGACAGGGTACATGACTGAATAAGAGTCTGGTATGGGGTTTTTTTGGATGAGGGTTCACCTCCAACCCATACCAAACTTGGGATGGACACCATTCTACAAACAAATGAGGCTGGCCGGGAAATGTCATTTAGAGGCAAGTTTGTGTTTCTTTGTAAATGTCACTTTTGCAGACAAAGGTGCACTACTTCAGGTTTAAGGCATTCCTATGCATATTAATTATAGGAATTGTTATTTTTTTAACGTTCCCTTTTTTTTTCAACAAAAACTTGCAAATTGGCCTTGAAGAGCATTTTCTTTCTTCTTAAATTGACCTGCTTTCCATAATCTTTGGTATTTCTACTCACCTAATTAATAGCTTACAGCTATCTGCAGCAGAATAAGGTAGCCTGAGCCATATAAAATGTGAGCGTGTAGGAAAGGCTGTCATTTTATGCGTTGTAGAGTAGTAGTGGCTGCAGCTAAAAGCTATTCTGTGTTTTGAATTACTAAACGTCTAGAGTGTCCTTAATAGAAAATTATACAATTTTCAGTAATGGAAAGATAATATATCAAGCCCTGGACTACTTAAAACCTGACTTTTATTGTTTCTTATTAAGAGCTCCTGGAACTCTCAAATCATATTTATTCATTATTTTTTAAAGTGGCCTTCTTTCTCCATTTGCAAATTTGTGAATATTGATTTCAGTAGGTACCTATATTTTTATATCATGTTTGTCCCTTTTGCTTACAATGTCACTCAAAAGGTGCTCTCAGTATGACACTTCCAGGGATCATGCACACAGGCGTAAAGCAGAGCAAATACAGGCATATCTTTATACATAGTAAAATACATCTGTATTTGCGGCACCCGGGAGCCTCAGCTACTGAGTTTTTTATCCATATCATTGTATGAATAAAAAACCCTGTGCTCGGGTGTACACCCTCAAATGTGGAGTTTGCATGTACACAAGGGTAAACTGTATGAAAATACGCATGTATTTGCTCTTCAATATGCCCGTGTGCATGAGCCCTTACTCACTAATGTGCTGTGCTGAGTTCCTAGGGTAGCCTTTTTTAGTAACCTTTTTGAAAGATTTATACATTCCTATTTAATTTCCTGATAATTCCTGACCATTTCTTTATCACCTAAACATACAAATACATATAATTATTTCTATTTTTAGGAGATAAGCAATTTATTATTTTATTTTTATTTTGGTCTTATGAGATTTGTATGTATTATATAAACTAGCACTTCAAAATGCAAGAATTGAGGTAAAATCCTAGATACAAGGAGAGAAGAAATGGTAATTTCCATGCACACTGGAGAAGTCAAATAAAGAGTTTGGGATGTATGATCAGGACTCTGGAGTTTTAAAATGTTCATTATGTGTGCAATAAATTGCTATTTTATACTCCAGGTGTGCAGTCCACATTATTTCTGCACTTCCTGCATTATTATTATGATTATTATTGATTTTCTTTTCTTTCTATTATATGCAAAGGAAAAGTAAGGCTGTTTTTTTCATTCGTAGGCAAAGTCAGCCATTAGGATTTATACAACTTGCCATTGTGGTTTGAGGGATTTGACTTGATATCTGCAAATTCAGATAGAAAGTCACTTGCACTCCAATGCCATGCCAAGTCAATGGTTTTCACTACTATGTATTTATGTCACTTTATACTGTTGGTGTTCTTTTTCAGTTTGCCTGAAGAAGGGACCTGTACAGGTTCTGAAACATTGCTGTAAGATGCTACACTACCTCAGTCAATGAAGAGATTGACTTGGCATTGCATTGGAGTGCGAGTAACTTTCTATCTGAATTTGCATGTGTTTTGCAGAGGCATCTGCTGTCACTGCCACACCCACCCTGCTTTTTTGGGCTTTTTGCCAGTCACGAGTGCAATGGCATACATTTTGTTTTAATTCATGCTGACTTTATATCTAGTACATTATCGGTTGGGTTGTAGTTGCTAACTTGGTCTCATTTGAGGGGTTTTAGTATTTGCTATGCTGCTATTAATTGTATTTGTTATTTATACTGCGATTGTCCTGTGAAAGCTTGGTGCTGACTATTGGGTACAGTTTTTAATAACAAAACACCTATACTACAGTATAGGTCAAGAGTGCAAATTGTGGTGCACTGGGTTGCCAAAAATGACACAGGTATGACTTTTCCTGTGTTAAGGTATGCTGCCTGGCCAATCAAAATGAATGAGCTGTCTTAATGCAGTGCACTTCAATGCAAAAAAAGTGTGCATGCAAAGTGACAAAAACTCTTGAATGCCCCAACCCACTTCTGCTCACTTTGATGCACTCCCCCACCACTCTGCTCCTTCAACAGATCCACCATAAAATATATCCAGTTTTAGGTATTGGGAAGAATGTGACCTCTCTCTTAATCATCCAAAGACCTTAAGAGTAGAAGATATGACCTAAAAACTTTCACAAAGTTTCTAAAGTGTATCTTATACACCCTGATCTTCTCCCCTTGCTGCTGCTGCTCCCTGATGCAAATACAGGCAATTCCTGGCTGTCAAAATGAAGCTGCAGCTGTGTAAAATGACACTTGCAGGTAGTCTCTAATTAAGTAAATTCAATCACCAATTGTTATATTCTATATACTATTTCAATAATATACCTATTTAAAAGCGAACACTGGTGAAAATGGTGAGCAGAGCGTGACGTGTGGCTCAGGCCGCATGTGGAGCCCGGAACAGCCCCGAACAGGCAAATCAATCGATAGCCGACGAATCGACGATCGAAAACGTTGCCAACGTTTTCAATCGTCGATTTTAATCGACTAAATCGATTAACTGTTGCAGCTCTAATATATATATATAGATATAGATAGGATAGGAATCTGCATGATTCAATTCACCTTTGGATTAAAAATGACTTTAAATCCCAACATACATGATGTGGATAATAGCTACACAATACCTTTTCTGCAACAGAGCTGGATGCAAACTTTATTTTTACTTTTCTCTCCCTGTGAGGCTTTATTCAATAATTGTGTGGGAACCCGCATGATTTAATTCACATATGGATTACGCATGAGTGTAAATCCCATAATGCAATCAGAAATGTTGTGTACAGTTGCTCCATGATCCTTTATACTACAACAGGACTGGGTATAAACTTTATTTTTACTCTAGAAAACAAAAAGGGAACAGAGCGCCACCTCCTTGTGTAAAATCGTTTATTACAATAAATAAAACAAGGGATAAAAGTACTCACAAACGTTTTCATCAGGCTTTAACAACAAACGAGAGGCCACACTGTCTGTTGACCCAACATGGTATCCCCCCGACTATGTAACACGGTAGTATCCGGTCACATCACCGTCCACCGACCGCAGTCAGCCAAGATTGACGCGTTTCAGGGGCAAGCCCCTTTCCTCAGAATCAAAATTTTTTTTTACTCTGCTCTCCTTGTGAGGATTTATATTATAATCTATATGTGAACCTGCATCAGTCAATTCATATATGCATTATAATTGGCTATATAGCCCAAGATACAATCAGAGATGCACGATACAATTGTTGACTGATGTCTTCTTGCAACAGCCGGGTGGATATGAATTGTATCTTTACTTTGCTTCCCCTGCTAGGATCTATTACATATTTTATGTGGGAACCTGCATGATTAAATTCATATATGCCATGGATATAATTGTAATTACAAATTGTAATTTAAATTACAGATTGTAATTACAAATGGCTATATATCCCAATATACAATCGGAGGTGCAATGTATAACTACTGCATTATGCCCGTGACACACTGCACACAAAGCCGTGCAGAGCTGAGCAAAGCTGTCCAGCATGGAGCTTTGCATGCAGTGTGTGAGCTGAATGCAGGCAGATGATTGACTGCACCTTCAGCCAATCGGCTCATGCTTAACAACCGGCCAGACGTCGCATCCTGATGTGCGGGTTTATACACGCGAGCTGATTGGCTGAAGATTACCTTTTTCATCTCGGCACGCTCAGCTGTGCGAGCTCTTGCAAGCTGACGTGCCGAGGAAAAAATTACATGACACACATGACATTACATAAAGGCAGCGCGCCACCGCTCCGTGCTGCTTCGCGTGCAGTGTGTCATAGCCTTTATACTCTCATGCTAAAGCAGTGATATTATAACCACAGAAGCAACATTTTGTAGTGCCTGTCTTTAGATGTCATAATTTACACATAACTTAAGGAGCGCCTGAGGATATAAACTGCCAAGACCTTGGAATATACTCAAGCTTAAAAATGAAATAAAATATATATCATTTAGCACATTTAGGAAATTGATA